ATGCCGGTCTGAGTAAACACAAACAGGAAACTCAATAAATGTTTTTTTTTTTCTTTTACCTTACAGCAAATAACTTAGATACAAAACAAATAATTCAAAGAAAAGAAAATAGTTTTCTCTTTCTAACTAAGAACCCAGAAAAACAGGCAAAAATCCCAAATAAATTTGCTCTCTGCCTCGACTGTAGGGGATTTATTAACCACGTCTGATTCTCTCTCACGCCTGTGGGAGCCGGAGTCGATTTGTATTCTCCTGCTGTGGCTCATCCTTCACAAAACCAACACACATATTGCCGCATCCCTCGGATAGCTATATATTTTTTTATTTTTTTACCTAACCTTCCAGTCAGAGAGCTAACCAGCATGCTAGTCTTTATTTTCCAGATGCAGAGGTTGATGGCTGGCTGCCTCACTCTGCTTCTTTGTGTGGAGATAATTCACGTAATGCCGATCTTTCTGTTCCGCGAGAACAAATGTGATGTACTTAGAAAGCCGTGTCAGGGGGAAACTTAGGGGAATCTATTCTTTCCACAGATGCAGATGAATCCTTTCAAAGAAGAAGAAAAAGGAAAAAAAGCTGATTTAGACATGATAGCTCTTATTAGCAAGCAGGCACACATCGTCACATCAACATGCTAAACCGGGTTTCCACTCCTATCTTCACCCCGTTATCCACTTCAACACATCCCGGTAAACTGATGTTAAAATGAAGAGAAGCGTTCACATCTTGTAGGGCTGGATTTATATCCTCGTTTCTTTTGGTTGTCGGTGAGATCAACAGTTAAGTATAAACAAACCATATGAAGGATGATGCTTATGGTGTTTATCTGGGACTTAATTCACTCCCAGATAAATCTAAAGTCAATAACTGTGAGGAAAAAATCACCAGTGCGAAACAGAAGTGTGAGGTTTTCATAATGATATTTATTATTGAGGATTGATTTGGCCTCAAGAAGACATAATAAAAGGGACAAATAGTTGATCATTTCAATATTTTATGAAGAAATATGATGCTTGTGTTTATCACAGAGCTAAAAACCAAATAAAGTCCAAAGAAGTACAAATAATTAAAAAAAAGATCAATATCAGTCAAGTATAGACAATGTAGTAAATCAAAGGGGCAAATCCAGGAACAGCCTCATTTTGAGTAAAATATGAAGAATACAAGTAACGAACATTTACATGTGGAAGAAAAGACAATCTGACAGACGACAATTATTAGTGACAACAAGCTGAGAGAGTGATGAAGTATTGTCAAAAGGTTCTTGTGTAGAAGTAGAATAATTATAATCAAATACACACATTGTGAGTAGGATCCTTAAGGACTCATAAAATTCATGATGGGTGGGCTTTTCAGTTTAGTTTGGTAGTTTTAGTCGCTTTGTAAATCTTTCTGGGGTTTTTCCTCATTTCTTCAGGATTCAGTAATCACTTTCCCAAGTGTAAATACTCTGTGATTTGGTCCCTTCTTTGTCAGATCCCACTGTCACCAATCTGTTCCCGTCTTCTGAGTTCTCAGTTTAAATTAATTTATCTGACGTCCTCCTCTCTGTCCAACACCTAAATCACATGAAATTCTGTTTACATAACGAAAACCATATCTGCATGAAATACAGTACACCGCTTTTGTTTCAAGCTCAAAATTTCTTCTAGAGAACTAAGCGCTCTGTAAGAGAGCCTGAATTGTAGGAATGTATATTTTCTATGATGATGATATTGCGAAATAGCAGGCTGGTCATGTTAGTTTTTGTACAGAATTTGTTTTGACCAAATCAGTTTTTCTGCTCCAGGTTCAGCCGTGTGCACCCGGCTAACAACACACCCTCAGGCGAGCTCTCACTGTCCTGCTGTTTGAAGAGATTCAGCTCAGGTTGATTAGAGATCTCAAACATCAGAGACATCCTGGGATTCAAGGAGAAGAGCTGAGAAGCTCTTCCAGAGCTCCTTCAGAATAAAACGAGAGAACAAATAGAAGCACTGTTTTTTTTTTTGTTTTTGTTTTTTTTGTTGTTTGTTTGTTTTGTGTTTCTACTGATGTGAGGTTGAAGGTCAGATCAGTATTAAATTTCGTTTTAATTCTAGTTTTAAATCATACGTGCACTCTGTCGTCTGGGAGGTCGATCGGTAGATGAAAGAACTGAATAGAAAGCGGGATTTGATTAATTCATTCTTGACATCCATGACCTGCTGCTGTCACTCTGCTGAGACCTGAACAGATCAAAGTGTCTGTGAAAGCTTGTGGCTCCTGGAAGCATTTAGAGATGATAGAGCGAAAGAAAACAGTACACCATGTGGTGAATACGGCACCGTATAAAATAGGAGCTGCAGCAAAAACAAGTAACTTTCTTACATATTTCTTAAAATTGTCACCATATTGTGACAGTATTTATGGCACAGAAAATCTCCGGGGAAAAGATCTAACTAATCTAACTCTGTGGTCCAACTGCCATCTGCAGAAATACACAGCTCAGTTGGAAGCTACCAATCAGAGCCAGGAGAAGGGTCTCAGCACCGTCACCGTTATGTATGCACTGCAGCTGTGCTACAGAGAACCAACTTACTGTCTCAGAAAAGCTGTTTAATGGAGAAAAGCTTGATTGACAGCACTAAGCCCCTCCTCCTGACTTTTATTGGTTGTTTCTGACTGAGAGCGATGTATTTCTGCAGATGGCAGGAGGACCAGAGGAATGAGGTGGAAGAGTTAGAATTTTTCACAGAGTACCCATCTCATATTATACCGTCACAATATGGTGACAGTTTTTTTTATTTTTTAAATATGTATAAATAATATTTTCTGTAAAAGTTACCTACTTTCACTTTAAGAACAAGAAACCCAAGTAGTAATGAGAGAATTTAGCAGCGATTACTGAGCTTACAGCTAACACAATTTGAAATGGAGCTAAAAATTAGCTTCAGCAGCGATCATGAGTTGGAGCTGGAAGGATGTAACTTACAACAATCGCTTAGATCTGACTGTTAAGGTCGCAGGAGTGACCGACTGATCTGCTTTGTCTCCGGAGTCGTCTGTTGTTGTCGTTTGTCGAACGGTTTCCAAGATGGGAGGTTTGAGTTGACAGATTTAAAGGTGTGAATGACTGTGAGAACAGCCAGGGAGAGGGTACGGTATGTTTCAGCTGCTTCTTCACACATTTCACAACAAGTTTTCAGTGTTTCATTGAAACTTTACATGTTTGGCCAACACAAAAAAGTGAATAATTGAGAATTGGAATAATCTTTAGGGTATGTCTCTTGCAGCTTAGAGACTGTAATGCTCACAAACTATTCAGATTGGATGGAGAACACTACGAGTTGTCTCATAGGTGTTTTTAGGTCTTGACTTTGACTGGGCCATCTAAACATATTCAATTTATATGATGTCTACCAGTGTACCATAGCTCTGGCTGTGTGTTTTGGGTCATTGTGGTGCCTCCCCCTCCCCTGAAAGGATTTGTCTCCATCCATCTTCTCATTAACTCCTAGCAGCTTTTCTGTCCCTGCTGACAGAAAGCATCCCTGCCATGTCTCACTGTGGAAGGATTCAGGATGATCTGCAGTGTTATATTTTCTGCCGCGTGTAACATTTATTAAATAAATGTAGCTCCAGATCAGCTTCCACTTTAATGTCACGGTCACAACGCAGAGCCGGTGCTGCAGATGTGCAGCAGTTTAGCTCTGAGCATTCATATTGAAAGTTCTTGACGGTAGATGAAAGATTTTTCATTTTTCTGAAAGTTGAAGCTGAAGGAGAGGTGAAACCGTCTTCACAGGAAATCTTCTCTAAAATAAGGTTTTATGTAGACTGTGCCTCGAGAAACTATTTTTTATTTAAATCATTCTCTATGTAGTTTGGGGCTCCTTTTAATTTTCACGGGTTTTTGTTCAATAACTGACAAATAAGGTGTAATTTAGATGTACCTTACTACAAAGACAAATGTCTTATCATCTTTGTTGAAACTTCAAATAACTCTAGTGACATAGTTCCTGTTAATAATTTGTAACTCGCTAATTTGGAGAGATTGGAGGTGTGCAGTACTGCATATTTTTGGTATTGATCTAGTAAATACAAGGTCACCAAAACAGATATTTTTTTTCTGTTTTTCCATGTTGTCAAACTTCTGACATTTAGGTGATTTCATCTTTGTTTGTATTCTGAATTATTTTGTTGAAATCTTTGACGAAATTTGGACAGTTTATGGGTTCTACAAAATACTTTAACATAGTAAAATGACTAACAGTAACGATAGAAAAACAGAAAAACAAAAACTGCAAAGTGCAAAAAAGGGTCATGAGAGCAAATAAAAAAATCTACATATTTTTAAGGTAGAGTTAAGAACTTATAATGCAAAAATAAGATAACATTTCAAGAGGGAATCTGAACCTAAAGTATTGATTCTACCATGCACGTATAGATCCAATACTGATACCAACCGGTATCAATGTTGTTGATATTTTGGATCGATCTGCCCACCTTTAGTAGAGATATCCTTCTCTAAAAAAAGATGAAGTTTGTGTGAGCTGGAAAATATTAGCCTTCACCATGTTGCTTCTAAAAAGCTATGTTTGAAAAAAATATTCCAACCTAAAAAATTACAACTTAGGAGAAAGATATTTTTTCTTTAACCATTAAATGATTTAGTACCAGGATAAGTGGAAGCTTTGTGAAATTTAGTTTAAAGGTAAGAATCTGCTAGTATTTGCTAGCTCTCTAGCTAGACTTAGCAAATTTGTCACCTAGCTAACGATAGCTGGCAGATAGCTCTCTGCCATGTGAGAAGCACAAACCTGCTACCAAGAGCCAAAACTGCCCCCCAAAATTTCACAGTTTTGGTCCCCTACATTTCTTTTGTACATCTTTGCTGTTTTAAATTTGATTCATTATGGTCTTATGAAGCTCCTAAAAGTATTGGAGAATCCTGCATGAACCTGTCTAATTTGCTTTGTCATTAAGGTATTTTCATCTTCTTTTTTTCTGCTTGTCCTCTTTCTTTTTTCCACCTACAGGAGAAAGCATCCAAAGCAACCCGGGCGTGTTTCTGGAAGGTGACAAATCCCACGGCAGTCCAGCTTCACCGCATTCCTATGAGACGAAGACGGACGGAGGAGGAGGAGGAGGTGGCGAGGCGAGAGGTCGTAGAGGCAGCGTGACCAGCGTGGAAAGCGAAATGTCAATGTGCTCCATGAGCCAACTAGGGAACACCATCGCTAACAGTGAGTGGGAGGCAAACGGAGCCATAAAACAGCCCAGAACTCGGCGTGTCTTTAACTCATAACGTGTTTTCTGGTCTCAGTTTCCAGCAGCTGGTGGGGCTCCAAGAGGCTGGATTTCGCTTTGTACTGCCCTGACGTGCTCACCGCCTTCCCCACGGTAGCTCTGCCTCATCTTTTTCACGCCTCCTACTGGGAGTCCACCGACGTTGCCGCGTTTGTTCTCCGTCAGGTAGCAGAGCCCCGCTGATGTTATGCCTGGCTTTTTTTTTTTTCTTTTTTTCTTTTTTTTTTTTTTACGTTTTACAGAAATTGAGATGTCTTAATTATAAAAATAAGAAAAAAGACATAAAGAGAAAAATGGCATGAAGCCAGAGCAGCAGAGCAGCAGCACTAACATAAGCCAGTTGCTGGTAGAAGACTTAAAGTCATGCAACGATTTCTGCATTGAATGTTGATTTCCTGTGTCCTTGATTTTAGGGGGGAAAAATCTGCCAATAGAGATTTTAACTATTACAACATTTAGAAAATTGAAAAGGTTGTTTGTGTGAAGCAGTGATTGTGCACCAATCAGGCTATTATCTTTTTCAAACTAATTATTCGTCGATTAAAACTGTAATTCATATTCACTAGAGCTGTGAAAATTGGGCTTTTAAATAGTTGCTGTCATTGTGTGATATTATAGGAAAAATAACAGTGAAAGCCACAGGAGTATTTTTCATTTCTGAAACTTCTGCAATTTAATGAGAAAACATTTAGGGAAAAAAGTGTTTTGTGTCTCATTAATAAAGCATCACCAATCTTCTCCTGTCACACAAACTGATGTGCAAAAGGATCATGCTGATCTTAATGCTGCTGCAGAAAAGAATGAAGAATCTAAAGTTACATTTAATGTAGCCATAAAGTGAAATGTCTTCACATCTCGAAACAAAAAGTATTCGTGAATCCAAAAAACAGTCGAAAGTTAAAAACAAAAGCAACCACTTTGCTGTAATCTTAAGTTTTCAGCCTTTTCTTTGTTCTAGTAATGTAGCATCCCTTCACCCCATAGACACACACAGAACGTCCTGGCTGTTATCAAACACTGAAATCTTCAATTAATCATCTTCCCATGAGAGCGCAGAGCTTCATCTATCTCATTCAAAACGATAACGTGGTGCCAGGGACAGAAGGTCAGGAGATTAATTGCGTAACAGACGATGTTAGTTTAAGTACATCAAAGCCGCGCGGAACATATTTACAGTAAGACGGAGAACAAACGGAGAACACTGTCTGAAAACAACGGCAAGAAAGAATATGTGAACGGATGTGGCTCTGTTTGTGTGATCCTTTTATAATCTGGTGGATTTTCTTGCGTTTTATATCATTTCATAAAAGCAGTGGTCGTAAATGAATCTCCAGTTACATGAAAAGGAAAGTTTAATATTACAGAAACTCTTAATATAATGAATAATTGATTTTTTTCCCTCATTAGGCTATGGGAAGAAAACCACTTAAATTATGGAACTGAAAATTAGATTAGCCAATCTAAACTCAGCCAGTTGTGTTATGATGTATTGGAGTGAGAATATATGCTCAGCGTTAATTGCCCGGTGGTAAATCATAACACGGTTGTTCTGATGGAAAAAAAAAAATATCCAGAAATTCTGTGACAGATTGTGCTGCTTTTGTTTGCACCTTGAAGGCAATGAGGAATATTTCTGTGATGTTTTACTTAGTCTTGTCTAATCCAAAGTAACGTTCTTTGCAGCCGATATTGATAATTTGGAACATTGGAGCTAAATACTTCATTTTGCACATATTTTATTTGGAACATAATACTTACAATATGACTTGAAGAACAGCAGTGGTTGAATGAAAACAAGTTAATACTTAATACTTGGTAACTGATTTTTTTCTTTTTTTTTTTTTTTTTTTAATTTACCAAAAATAAAGTTCAGTTTTAGGCTATGTGATTTGCAAACTAACTATAAAATGTAAACATTTTATCCATCTTTAATGGATGAATCTACACACTGTAGCCAGTTAATTCTTATCAGTTTCAGGTCAAACCTTGGACTTGAGGAATCTTTGTTCGTTGGTTGTGCTTCAAGTGTTTCATGTTAGGAATTAACTATGAAGTGGAAGGAAATTGGTTCATTGTTTTCTTTGCGTTTCTTTATTGTTGATAAAAAAATGTATAAAAATGTGACATGTAATTATTTTCTGGCTGCAAGTATCATAAATCTTAAGCCCGTCTCGGTTCAGACGATCTTTGGATCCTTTGTTACCTGAAAGGAGCTTCAACAAATGAAGAGGTAAACAAAATGCCAGAAAGCTTTATTTGTCTGCTTCGAACGGACAGGCTCTCCTATTAGACGAAGAAAATAGAAAATAGTTTCTTTCACCGTCAGCTCTGACATGTCATCTTTTCTGGAAAAAAAAAAAAAAAAAAAAAAAAAAAAAAAATATATATATATATATATATATATATATATATATATATATATATATATATATATATATATATATATATATATATATGTGTTGACGAGGTGTGGGATAAATATCTCTCTTCAAAAGCGAGTCATTTAGCTGTCAGTTTCACTTGATGTTTTGTCATTTTGACGATAAGAGCAAAAAGCTATTTCCTGCAATCATCAAGCTTATTAATGCGCCTTTTTTTTTTCTTTAAGTTTGACAAGTTTCTGGAAATGTGTTTAGACTGAGAGCATCTCAAGTTTCAAGTGAGTCAGAAATCACATCCAGGGCTTCTTTCATCTAACGATTTTTTACGAAATCCCCTCTTAGCACTTAATCTGTGCTGCTGTTGCTCTCTCTATTAGCACTGAGATTTATAGGACTCAAACTGCAAATGTAGTTTCAAGGCTTCAGCTCACAAAACCTCTCACAACAGTGTTGCCCCAGTGTTTTTCTAAGTCATTACTGATGCACAAACTTGAGTTTTCTGTAGATTTGAGGGAATATAAATGTGTGTATTTTTTTTTTTTTTTTTGAGTCTGACATAAATTAGACTAGATTTTTACTTATCGAAGTTCAAAATGTATTATCGGAAATATTTCTGTGTGCTAAATACCAGAATAAGGAAAGAAGTATTTTTTTAGTTGTTTTTTTTTTGTTACATTACTTAAAATTCAAAAGATCCACTTTGTTCATATTTGATGGAATAGCCTTTGTATAATGTAGAAATTTTATAAAAATATTTTGAGTAATCTACAACTGGCTTCTTATAGTAGTTTGCTAGACTACTATGAGTCTAGCATAGTAGTCTAACATCAGTTTATTAGTTTGCTGATATACTAATGTTACTGAGACGGGTTTATACAAATTTTCCAAAGAATGTTACAAAACATTAGCTTGGCAGCAAACATCTGAATTTGAAGAAACTAATAAAACAAATGATCTTATTTACTCTTTTTCTATTTTCATGACCACTTCAAGGGACTTTAAAACCACAGCATCTACAAATAAATGAAGAAAATGTGTGCTTGCATGTTATTGAACAAATAAGCACAAGACTAGAAGAATAAAATAATGTCCTTGGTGAATCCAAAATCTTGACAAACGATTTTTGACACATTTTTTTGGATGAGCTGCTCCTCGACCAGCTCTGCAATGCCACCGCCCCATTTTTCTCAACCTCACAGTCTCTTTCACGTCGTGTTACAGACTGGAAGGGGCGGAGTCACATGACTGTTCACGTAGCACAGCGTCTTAAAGGGACTTAGCCTGGCTAAACACAGTCAAAAAAGACTTTTTTCTTTTTTAAAATACAGAAAACATCCACATTATCAAAATGACATTCAGTCATTGTTATAAGTTTCGGTGTCGTTCAATTTTCGCGATATGGCCCAGAGTTTCTTGTTCTGGCATTTAGCAAATAGAAGTAATTTTTGGAAATCCTAATCGACTTTAAAAAGGAAACATTTATTCAGATTTAATGTCAGAGATTGAGGGTTAAAAAAAAGTTTAAGTGTCATTCTCTACTGTACATGTTGGTATAACTGGATGTTTGTGTGTTTGTTGACAGCTCATGCGATGCGACTGCATGCGAACCCAGGAAGCAGACCGCCTGGACTCTGCTCCGTTTTCTCCTTCCAGCCCACGTGAGAAGTGGCTCCGGCGGAGGACGCATGTCAAGCTAAGGGTGGGTTTTCCACACAAACGTATTTGTATCATTATGTCTCGATGCAACTTTTCCACTTCCGGTACGATACCGATACTGACCTGATACAATATCAGCATGAATCATAGGTACTTTATTACTCATTTTGTTGTGTGGAATGTTAGAAATGGCTTGATGAAGTGATAAACAACAGCATGTATGAGAACAACTGACTCATTTATTATTAACCGGTGGGTTTGCATGTGGGTTACAATAGGTGCTGGATAGAAATATCGACCCGAACGCCGATATCAATATCAGATCAGTACAACTTTTCTCTGTTCACTGTAAAGACAGATGGTTATTGGTATTGAAATGCTCTCCTTAGCGCTCAGTAATGCTGCAGTTAAATTTACACTTATTCTGATTCTCCCTTCAGTGAAGAGAGGCCTTTTTTTTTATTGCTGTATTTTTATCTCCTCTTTGGATCCGTCTCCCACAATGCCTTTTCATTCACTCGGTCTAAAAATAAAGTTCTCACGGATGCCGCAATTGTGCTAACTTAACTCTGTGACTTGAAATTCTGAAAACTCTCCCACAGCTTCACCTTGAAGCTCTGAATCAGATAGTCGCACGATTCGCCCGAGCCTCGTCGAGCAGAACAACCAAGGTTGAACTTTTAATCAGAGTCGGTGAAGGTTTTCTTTTTTTCTTTCTTTTCAGACGGCTAAAAATAAACCTTTTTTTCAGCAGAATACAAAAAACGCTGCTATATTTGAGTTTAAATAGTTTTCCTTTTTTTTTTTTTTTGTTTTTGTTCAGCTCCACTAAGTGAGCTTTTTGTGATCTCTTCATTCACGGTGAGTACAGTGAGATTTTTAGCAGCTTCACCCGGATCAGTCTGCACGCTGCTAGCATAGCCGCTGCTGTTAGCTGCTTCAGAGACACTTGACATAAACATCTGAGGTGACTTGACCAGGCAGGAGGCCTTTCGTCACTGCTGGAGGGGAATAGACGTGTGTTTTTCCTCATGTTGCTTCTTCACAGCTCAGTCTTTCTGTTGGTGAAGAGTCGCACTGAGACGCCTGTTGCTTGTTTGGGTTGTTATCACCTGTGACCTCGCAGAGCGGAGCTGTCCGAAATAAATGTGACCAGGTGTTGAACTTTGCCTGCGTTTTCCATGGTTCATATCTGCATTCAGCTGGGGTTTCTTTGTTTTTTTCATACTTAGTGCATGTCGTCTCCATGTTTGCTGCCACAGCATCCCACAGAGAGCTCCCGCTGTCAAACAATTAGCTGCTGACAGAGCTAATGGTGGGGAGCGGCTGGAAACGCTGAACTTGTTTGTGAGGTGATTCCTGCTTTAGATCAGTCGTCATTAGCTGATCTAATGAAGTTCAACAAAAACACAATTGATCACATGAGGGCTGTGCTGTGGTTCTTAAGGTTTTTGTTGTTGTTTTTTTGACGTGGTAATTCCAGTGGTAATAATATAAGGTTTTTTTTTTAAACAAAATTCAGTGTGTCTTGCTTTTTACTGTGACCGTTAATCCATAATGAGCTAAAACAGATTACATTTTGTTGCTACTTTCAATTAAACATTCAAGAAATAAATAAATATATTAGATGTTTGAAAGAAGTTGCTTCTCTCTTATTCTGTATGTGATGGTCCAACCAGTCAAGGACAAGGACAAAGGCATATATAAAAAAAATATCTTCTATTTATTTTTCCCAAAAACATCTTAACAAAAGGATTCAACAACCAATCTAAAAAAATATAACAAAATGGGCCCAAAAGAAATCAACTAAGGCAAACCTAACTCAAGATAACAAACCAACAACTGCCCTCACACAATGAACACACAGGGGAATTTATACAAACAGGCTAGCCTACACAAACGAGGAGGGGTAGGGACAAAGACAAAGACAAATAATATATAAACATAAATGACTAAATTAAACTAAAACACTTTGACTTAAACACCACTATAAACCCAAATAACCTAACACAAAAAAGGTTTTAACAATTATGCCATTAGTGGAGAGAGGCAGATTTTTTCCACATCACGTCCCCTGCTTCCAGCAGCCTGATGGACTGTTCCACTTCCTGGTGTTCCTTTCAGCCAACCCCCTTCTGTCAGCCAGTCCTTAAACTCAGCAAACAACATAATTAATGATCTTAAAAAAACATAAGGCATTTACTAAATGTGTGCACCCAAATTAGTAAACAACCCAATGCAATAACCACCACCAAAGAAAACCCACCAAAAAAAAAGTGAAAATCTAAATATATTATATGAAAACATTTAAATAAATACTAACACTGAGGAAAAGGTGGAGGAACCTCCACACTGTAAATCTTCTGTAGATTCGTTGATCTGTTCTGTCCCGTTCTGGGAAACATCTTAATTTTAAACCAGTTTCTTCCTGAAGGGAGCTGAGATGAGGAACACACTTCCTGTTGGACGCCTCTTAAGTACGGAAGTGTTTATCTTCCAGAGCTTGGAAATGAATACTGGAGCAGTTTCTCGTCATAACGAGAAGGTTTTCTAGTTTTAACTAGACGCAAAACTCATTAAAACTTGAAACGATGTTGTTATAGAGACTTATAAAACTTAGATTTAATGAAAACTTTCTCATTAAACCGAGATACAAGACTCGTTAAGACGAGAAGTTTTCTTATGACAAGAGGTTTCCTTGTTATAGTGAGATGATTTATACCTCTGATTTTAATAAGACTTTCTTGTTAAAACTATATTAATTTTATATATTAGAAATTTTCTTGTTAGAACAAGAAAATCTTATGAGACACAAAACTTGTCCAAAGTAGAAACTTTCTCGTTAAAACTAGATACATTTTTTATCTCGTTACAACAAAGTTTCTCATTTCAACAAGAAACAAAATCTTGTATCTTGTTACAAATCCCTAATTATGACTTCTTGAAAAGGGATTAGGGCTTTTCATCTCATTATAATTAGAAGACTTTATTTATAATGAAAAGTTATAATAAAATTATAACTTTAGTTATAAGTTGCACTTAATTTGTCATCTGCAGTTTCATATTTTAGCCTAACTTAAAGTGTTATATAATAAATCCTTTTGCATTTAGTGTTTTTATGAGAAGCCGTACACTTGCCTATTTCTTGTGTTTATGTTACAAAAGTAGGCTTTTTTTTTCTTTTGTGCAAGTTTTGAAATCAGACTTTCAACTCTTTTTATTTTTTTTATTTGCCACAAGTAATTAAGAAAACACAGCTGATAAATCTGCAGAAACTGTAACTGAACTACATTGAAAACAAAATGTGGTTCCTCAGCCTGATGCCCTGATGCTCCTTCTGCTCTCAGTTAGTATTTGTCCTGTTTTCTCTCTGGAGAAATTCAGTTTGAGACCAGAAATCTGGACTCAAAACAGCATGTATGAGTAAAATACTTTCATAGTGACTACATGATGAAGTGAAAGCTATAAAAATGTCAACAGAGTTGGTTGTAAGCCCAGAATTGATATCATGCAGGGGCACCACTGAGTTAGTAAATTATAGATTAATGTTCTCATTACTGGTTGATAAAATGCAGCCGTCTTGGTGAAATCAGATTTAAGGATTAGTGTTTCTCTGCTGGTTGGCTCCTTTGAAGTGAAGTCAAAGAAGAAGAAAAATTCAGAAGGAGTTATCCTGCTGTTCTGAACTGTCCCAACAACAACACTTATGAAGTTAATAAGATTCAAACCTGAAAATAGCAGTGAAAATATCTCATTTCCTTTTGTGTGTTTTAAAACGTTTCCTGGACTTTAACAGACCTTTGAAACTGCACAACTACCTAATTAAACTGTGTACTAGTTTACTGAGAAAATAATGTTTTATTGACAGTAAATCTGTAAGTTTGACAGATTTGGTATAAATTGTTTTTTGTAAAACTCTTATCTATTTTTTCGATTAATTTAAAAAGTGAACTATAACAATGATTTCTCCAGAAGTAGCATTTTGTCTGCCCACCACTTTGCCATGGGAGTTGTTTCTGTTTTATTTCTTTTTAAACTTTGCTACTGCTCGTATTTTTTATTTTATTTTTTTTTTTGCGGATTTAGCTAAAACTCAATTTGTTTTCTGTTTTTTTTCTCTCATGAACTACAGAACGTCACTGCTAACCACAGGGTGAACGATGTCATAGCAACAGAGGATGGACCTCAGACTTTAGTCGGCCGTTTCATGTACGGCCCGTTGGACATGGTTACTCTAACTGGAGAAAAGGTGAATAAAGATAGAACAAAAGGTATGGCTAACCAAGTGTAGCATATTCTAACCGTCTAATTATGTGACAAACCTCAGGTGGACATCCTGGTGATGACTCAGCCTCAGTCTGGCCGCTGGGTGCACTTTGACATGGAGGTGACCAACAGCAGTGGCAGGATTACCTACACCATTCCAAAAAGCAAGAAGCTCGGCTTGGGGGTGTATCCAGTAAAAATGGTGGTCAAGTAAGCAGCCGGAGAGTCGACTGACATTTAAAATTTTGAAGTGCAAAGACACAGTCATGTGCTGGGTGTGACATTTCTTCTTTTACAATCCGAAGGGGCGACCAGACCAGCGCTGAGGCCTACCTGACTGTGTTGCCGCGGGGCATGGAGTGTGTGGTGTTCAGCATCGACGGATCTTTTGCTGCCAGCGTGTCCATTATGGGCAGCGACCCCAAGGTCCGGCCTGGAGCTGTTGATGTTGTCAGGTAACTACGCACAAGCACCAGATGTGTGCACGTGTGCGTGTGCGTGCGTGTGTGTGTGTGTGTGCTCCCATTAATATCAGCAAAAGCAGGAGGGACCCAGTCATTGTTTTTCCTATCAAAAGTCCTCCAGCTCCCATGGTTACTCTTTTTCAAAGTCACACATAAAGACATAGGAGTCTCAAGGTGAGTCAAAGTCAAAATCCAGAATCAAGTTCCAAATTCTGTTTACGTTTTTAACCAAAAACCAGTTCAAATGACCCAATATTTGATTTAATCATAGACTAATAACGGACTCCAAACATTATAAATGCGACTTAAGCAAGTTGCAAGTGGAGATTTCAACTAGTAGAGGAAGAATGAAGTGGCATCGAACATCCAAAACATAAACGAATAAATAAATAGAATGAGGTCTGATGTCTGATGTTCGTATCACTGTAAATATTAAACCAGTATCGTTATATCAGTAATTTTATGTGTCCATTGTGTTGTTCAACTCCTAACTTATGTCCGTATGACATAGGTTAGGAGTTAACAGAAGGGCTTTTTCTACAAAGGGGCAGTATTATGTATTTTCCAGGCACATAGTGCCATTGTATAGCACAATCAAGTCAGTGTGCAACCTTCATTTGGTATAAAAATGTTGTATCAAAAATGACTAACACAAAATTTCACTTTGTAATTTGATGCCTTGACTAAACAAGCTGAGGCATTGGGCTGATATTTTCTCACCTTTAGGACCTTTAACCACTATATGTCCACAGAAGTGCCTCTGCCTTTGTAATTTTCAATCCACTAATTTTGAAAACTGAAGCTAATGTGCCGTTTACCACCTTGGAATTAATGTAAGCAAATAAATTACACTAGGTAATTTCTTTCTAATTTCTTTATACCTCTTTATTCCTTTCTTCAGCAACCTAACTGTGTGTTGCGTTCAATTTGGGAATTCTGGGTAATTAGTAAAATCATAAAAACATTCATTGATTCATGAAGTCTTTACTGGATATGCTTTGTTTTACCATGTTTTCTGCTGGATGTAAACTATCAATCATTTGTGCCTCAAATGGCTCAGACCCAGGTAACATCCAACTCGACTCTTTTGCGGTTTCATCAGTTTGATACTGAAGTCGATGAATTTGTTAGTAGAGTCTGAATGGAGTGCACACTTCTCCAATTACACACTACACATTTCTTTTTGCTTAAGCTGGTTTTGATTTTCCAGAATAACAAACAAACTCATAGAGCATTTAGAGGAGCTTGAGTTTCATCTGGCAGTCAGGTGAGTTTGCCCTCAGACGTGTCTGTCAGGCTCTCCTGCAGTAGCTGCTTCAGCAGTTCCTGCAGCGTGTGTGCAGTAACCAGAGTGTGTCTGGTGTTTGGATGACACAGCTATCACTGTGACTGTTGTGTTGTTTCCATTATTGCTGTGACACTCTGCTCTCTGATGCTCTCTGACACTGACTTCACACACCTTGTTTTTTTTTTTGTTCATACTGCAAATTCAGCCAAACATTTTTAGATAAGGAAACTTTAAAATGAGTAATGTCAGATAAGTGACTACAGAAGTGTCTTACAAAAATATTAACACCCCTTGAGCTTTTTCTTTTTTTGTTAGATAACAACAACATTTAATGTGGTTTATTGGGAATTTGTATGATAGATAAATAGGACATAATTGTGAGACAGGAAAATAATATATGGTTTTCAGATATGCTCCACCCTCTTTTAAACTAGTTTTAACTTGTTCTGATTGGATGTAGCTCCAATCAGATATTCAGTCAAAAAGATATGTGTACTTTTTTAAAGTTTTAAACAATGAATTTATTACAGAAATAACTTATTTTTTGATTAATCGTTAACTTGAATATGCAGACACTAAAGCCCATTTGCTAGTCAGGCCATTTTGGCAGTAATTCAGACCAAAACTGTTAAAAACATATAGCTATTGTAAGATTAGAAAAAAAAACTACTTTGTTTGTGTAGTAAAATAAACTGGTTTCAAATTACTGCAGAAACAATCAAAAATCTTTTGCTATCCAAGTCGTTTAATCCAAAAAACAGTCAGATCAGCCCTCCACTGATAAGTCAAACAGAAAGCACGGAGCTTTTTCACATGTTGATGTTAGAAGTATTTGTTCAGCTTCAAATGCATCATTTGCTACAAATGACCAATCATTCACTAAAGGTATGCTGTGTTCTTATTTAAGAGAAATTGAATTACTTGTTAATTTGCCTCTTTTAGTGTATTTCTAAAATTGCATGAAAAGACTCAGTTGAAAAATTTGCAGGATGTTCCGATTAATCGATTAATCATCAGAATAATTATTTCTAAAATGATGATCGGTTGCAGACCAGTACTGTTCCTGTGGTCTGTTCCGTCTCATTGTTGCTCTGGCTGGATGTTTAAGGTTGTTGTTCTGCTGGAAGGTGAACCTCTGAGTCTTTGCAGCCTGTAATAGGTTTTCCTGCAAGATTCCCATGTACTAGTCGTTACTTCTGTCTGTCACTGCATTAACTCTGCAGCTTCTCTGCACCCGAGGCGTAAAAACCAGGACAGAGGCTGTTGAATAGAAGAGTGCTCTATTACATAAAGAACAGATGGATTTATATTTCTAAACTTCACACAGAGTGACTGTGTTTGACAGCTAGGTGTCTTCTAAAGACATCTGCTTGGATTGGATTGATATGAAAAGTGTCTAGGGGCGTCAGAGTCAATGGGAGACGGTATAAATAATGCACTTTTCAGATGATCTGTAGAACGTGTCCAATGTTCCTTCCACTTTTATGCTGCGGTTTGTGATGGCCTGCTTTTACAGCTGTAGCGTGAGAAAATTGGAGGGTGCAAATATTTTTGGTCTCATAAAAGTTTTCCTGAAGTGTTAAAACTGAAGTTAAAGATGCAGTTTGTAATGTTCAGTAAAAAAAAAAAATAGAAAAGATTTTTACATATTTGTTTTACATATTTTCTCACTATGTCCTGACGGTAAAATATGAGAGAGATAATAAGTCCTACTGCCACCTGAGAAATACACCTCTTAGTCAGAAACAACCAGTCAGAGCGGGGAGGAGGGTCTCTTATTGGTGTCAATCATGCTTGTGTATGTGTAACGCTACAGTTAGCAGGCTAGTTATGATAGCCACAGATGACAGCAGATAAACAGTTTTCCTGGAATAGTAAGTTCTTTCTCCCCCACAAGATTAGAACCATTAGCAGCGACTACATGAGGATGATTGACAGCACTAAGTCCCTCCTCCTGGCTCTGATTGGTTATTTTTTGACTGGTAGTGATGTATTTCTACAGATAGCAGTAGTAGTAAAGTGAGGAGGAAAAGAAGCTTCATTTTTCACAGATTATCAGTCTCACGACATAGTGACAGTTTTAACACATATGTAAGATTGTGGGGGTTTTAAAATAAAATTTGCATAGTGCAGCTTTAACTTTCCTTCTGTTTATGAAGGAAATCCAAATTTCATGAAAAGCTAACTTTTTTTTACCATGTCTCTCTCTGCACAAGTCCTTGAGAGACTGTTAGAAAAAAAAAAAAACCTATTCCTATTTGATGCCGTGTGTTTTTCCTGCAGGCACTGGCAGGACCTCGGGTATCTAATCATCTACATCACCGGTCGGCCTGACATGCAGAAGCAGCGCGTCGTGTCTTGGCTCTCGCAGCACAATTTCCCGCACGGGATGATCTTCTTTTCTGAAGGGCTGGTTCACGATCCCCTGCGACAGAAGACCATCTTCCTTAAAAACCTCATACAGGAAGTGAGAATCACAGACTCGGTGTCTTTGCTGTTGCAGCTGAAATGCCAAACACATCCACAAGCTGATGATGATTGTTTTCATTTTCTGCCTTTGATTAGTGTCACATCAAGATAAACTCTGCTTATGGCTCCATGAAGGACATCTCTGTTTACAACATGTTGGGTCTAAGCCCCTCGCAGATTTACATTGTGGGCAGACCTTCAAAGAAGTACCAGAATCAATGCCAGGTAGCTGAAGGGTCGTTTGGCCTCCTAGTGGTGTTTCATTCCAGCAGTTCCACTCCAACGACTTCAATTTTCTCCCTGTTTTTTGCTCATTTACTTCCCCTCCCACCCATTTCCCCCTTCCTGTCTGTCGTTTCAGTTTCTGAGCGATGGTTACGCGGCCCACCTCTCCACACTGCAGTTTGGACACAGAGCGCGGCCCAAGAAGTCCCCGTCGGTCCGCATGGTGCTGAGGAAAGGCTCGTTCGGCCTCTCCGCCAAGCCCGACTTCCTGTGTAAGCGCACCCACCTGCGGAGGACGATGTCGGTCCAGCAGCCCGACCCGCCATGTGCGCCCAACCCCAAACCAGAACGAGCCCAGAGCCAGCCAGAGTCGGACAAGGACCACGGCGGGGGAGGGTCAGTGGGAGGCGGGGGAGTCGGGCAGGGTGCGTGGGGACGAGCCTCCATGCACCGCGGGGACACCACGCCCTGACACCCACACCGACATGGGAGGAGTTCAGGAGGAAAGAAGAAGAGAACTAATGGGTCTTGGTGTCCAGGGCCAAGGTGACATCTTGTTTTTTTATTTTCCTAAAGATGAATTCAAAGGATGATTTCACTTATTGCAATAGTGTCATCTCACAGTCCTTACTATATTGTTTCACTTGTTCATGAAAAAGAATTTGTTCGACAATAAGTTGTCCCAGAAGTTATTGAGATAAGCGATAATTTTGTTGAGGCCGCTCCAAAAGCAGAAAATGGCCTATAGTGCAGGGAATTGTGGGTAAACACGACTAACACAAACGGTCTGCAGAAGAAATGGCAAAAGAAATCCTACATCCACTAAAATCTGGCGCCACTCCATTTTGGTTTACATTTTGTAAAGAAGAAAGTTGTGCTCAGTGTCTTCTTCAGAGGTTTTCGTTTCCTTCAGTGGTTCTTAGTGCAGCGCCACCACAGGCGAGAGGTAGAACAGGATTTTTGAAGGATTTGTGTTCATTTGACAGTGCAGGATTCAGAAAACCTGATGCTGGAACAGAGGTACAACAATCCTAAACATACCTCCAGTCAGAGCAGCAGTGGAATAGTTTAGATCAAAGCATCGTGATGAGTTAACTTAGAATCTGCAGCAATGTGTTTGTAAATGCTAAATATCCAATTTGACTGGGCTTCAGCTATTTTTCCTCAGAAACTGAGGAGTTTTCAGGTTTTTTTAATTCGAAATCCATCAATCATTTTTTCCTGCTTAACATTTGTAACATTTGAAACCCCTCCCTGCTTTATAGCATAAAATCGTAGTAAAGCACAAACCGCAAGGGGTCTAAACAGTTTCAAGGCGCTGTAAATGTAAGTTTCATCATCAACACTAAAATATAATATTAAAATGAAGTTAGCAGACTCTTGGTGATTAATGAAGCTTTTATTTAATCTGATCCACTTTTGAGAATCCGAGGCTCTGACGTAAACGCAGATTGATTTTGCTCACTAGGGCTCAATTCCAGCAAAGTCAATAAATGTCTGTATTGATTAAATTATGTTCTGAGCTCTATCTGATATGCTACAGTGGCAGAGACCTCATTATTTTTTATATATGGACCACTGTATGAACACATACTCGCATACTGTACACATACTGTCGGGACATAAAATCAGACAAGAACAACAGGAGCGTGACATGAAATTTCAAGACAATTAGAATTTTTCCCTCAATATTTAATATTCCCGTGGCAACTAGAGGAACAGATGCTATTATTAGCTCCGGTTCCCAAGCAGAAAGCGAATGCAAATTTGTCCATGAGAATAAATATGCAAGTGCAACTGTGACATCTTCCAAATGGCTTAAACTCAAGCCATTTACAGATTTTTAAAAAGTGTTGTGAATATGCAAGCATGGCTGCTATATGTGTGCGCGTGTGTGTGTGTGTGTGTATGGCAAAGAGCCTCTGGACATACAGCAGGGAAAATAAGTATCGAGGATGTCAATATTTTTTCCAGTGAATACATTTTTAATGCGTGAAATTCACACCAGATGTCAGTAGCAGCTCAACTCATCCACACATACAAGTAGATCCAAACTAAACATTAATAACAGCTGGTTTAGTTCTAGTGTCACATGACAGACACTCCTCAGACTTAGTCAAATATTTAAAATGATTTTTCTAATTGACAGTGCACAGAAAAATCATTTTAAATGTTTGACCAAGTCTTAGGAGTGTGTGTCATGTGACACTTCCATATCGTTATCATGTTTCATTACATTCAAATTCAAAAATACTTTATTGATTCAAAAGGGAAATTAAATGTTTTTGTATCTCGTATTAATTCAAATTCTTCACGTGTCAAACTCAAGGTCTTGGGGCCAAATTTGGCCCGTCGTAGCTCCAAATTACATCAATAACTCCCTCTAGTTTTTCACAAATCTGCAAAATTTACACAAAAATCAACAGATCCCTTCTTTCAGATTTTACCAACATTTTTTCTCAAAATTGGCCAAAAACACTGGATTTAAGTGATTTCTGCCTCAGCCTCACTTGATGTCAAGTCATAGTCTGTGACCAATACAGCGATTTATAAAATGTAACATTTAACATCATACATTAGCACAAATATCATAAAAATTCATTCCAAATATTTCTAAATTAGTAGCTCAAAATCTGTGATTTTGACTGCAAAAGATGTTCAATATAACACTTACTAAATGCTAAAACAGCTATTTATTGATATTTTAGCAATTTAATAGGTTTTATCAATACATTCTGGCACAACCGGCCCTTTAAGAACAATCAGATTTTTGATTTGGCCCAAAATGAAAATGAGTTTGTTTTAATAAATGCAGCCATCATTTTTTTCACTTTAGTGGAATATTGACAAAGTTTTACAAACATTTGTAATGGAAACGCAGCTACTGATCTTTGGTTTGGAAAATTGAGTCAAACTTTGAATTTGAACACCCAGGATACCTCTTACAGCAATATGTTTCTTTATAATTCCACTTTATCTAACAAAGTTTATGGTCTAACTTTATTACTTTAGGTTGTTAACATCTTAATTTCTGAATTTTATATCACTTGGTACAACAGACTCATATTTACCGACAAAAACGTTCATACTTTTCCCCCTACTGTATTTATCCATTTAGATTTAAAAACTATGTTCAAGCGGTTTCTTGAATTCTTAACATGTTTTCTTACTTTGCAGAGTCTGCTGTACACTTCTGTCTGCTGTACATTGGAGTTTGCTGGCAGTCCTTACAGCGAAGCTTTACCTCCTGCTTGGCCCTCTACACTTTTTCCACCCGATGGATTTCGTTTCGTGATATTCTTTGTAGATAAGTTCAGTCTTCTGAATTTAAAACAGTTGCAAAGTTGTTTTCTTTTGGCAAATAATTGTTCTGAGCTCAAATGCTATCTAAATGTAAAATTTGACCAATGTGGTTATGACTATGAATTTCCTCGCATCTTGTATTTATTGCACACCGACGCCGAAGAGCGTTAAACCTGGGATGAAAGCGGTGGACTTTTCTCCAGAATATGGAACGTTGCTCGCCGTTTTGGTTCTGTTCACTACAGCAAGTTGATCGCCTTGGCCGACTCCACCCAGCACAGAGCCCCTCTGCCGATGTAAATACCCAACACACACACACCCCCATGCTTGGGCCTCTGGACACAGGAGTACTGTGACATTTTGGCTTAATCTCTACATGAGTTCTGCAGCCTGCGGTGCTCCATGTATCCAATCTCTGCCTCCGTTTTTCTTTTTGTTTTTTTGTTTTTTTTACTCCCGCTTGCATGTGGCCTCACATCACGGTAGTGATGTGAGGCCTCCCTTCAACCAGTACGGCGGATCGCGCATTACGACGGCCGACCGCAGCGCCTGGTCTGGAGTCTTCGAAGAGAGACGTGGCACGTACAGTTCCGCTCCCGCCGAGGTCACTTTTGTTTTTCTGGGGGGTTTTGCACTAAACAGCCGTATTCTGCACAGTCGCTGCTTGGTGGTTGAAAGAATATATGTTCTGAATATTGTCTAAAAATGTTTACAGGTTATCAAGCGGTAGTGACAAGTGATGAGAGCCGCTTTTCTGACTGTAACTAGCTTTATTAGCAGCTTTAGTTCATTCGCTTGTTCGACGGCGTTAGCTAGCTAAGCCCGCGGACTTTGTTCCACTTAAAAATCGCCCGGGACGCGCCCGCGTTTATTTATTACTGCTGCACTGAAAACTCGAGTATTTATGCTGAAATTCGACAGTCTTGTGCACTTGAAGTTTTATGTGGTTATGTTTGGAAAAATCTGTGCATATTTTTCTATCAGGAAATACTGTAAATAGAGATATTTTCAATGTATGTTTTTAGATCTGTGTGGAACTGTTCACTCTTTTCATTTTAGCCTTAAATTGTTTACTTATTTTGTGGAGCGTTCGTTTCTACCATCAGTCCTGGCATAAAGTGCATTAATGTTGACGTTTGACAGGTTTTACATGCTGTGGTAGTGTGTGTGTGAGTGTGTGTTGGTGAATATTCAGAGAGTGTAAATGTCTCTGCAGAGGAATCGGAGGAGGACGAAGAAACTGATGAGGATCTATCTGCATGTTCTTTTTGCAGCTCCACTGCCAGTTTTTTAAGAACAGCGCATGGATTTTTGTGGCCCTGAAAAGAAGCAGTAGGGTACAGGAGGATTTCTCAACTGAGTCTTTTATACCTGCTATGAAAGGAGAGGGGATTATGCGGTCTTATGTTGTCTTGTTTTAAATAAAATTCTGTGCAACAAATGATTTGTGCAATCCAGAAGGGAGGATTATCGTGCAAATCTTTTTCTCTTCCTGTAGCCTGCATAAAGTTTGACTTTTGGGTTATGGCTTTGTATGTATGACTGAGTGTAGTGCTGCCTCTGAAATAACACTGCACCAGTTATTTATTGATAAACGTATGCTATTGTAAGAAAAAAAAAAAAGCAACAACTTTAAAATGTATGTTTTTGTTTTTGATGTACAGTTCCAGTGAGAAGTTTACGATATTCCACCTCGTAGTGATGCATATTAACCATACTTTTTTCAGCATGGAATGATGATACAACAAACGACTTCAGCGATTTTAAAAACAAGAAATGCCTGAATTGTGGATTTTTTTTTATGCATAGGCACAGAGTTAAAGAAAACAGCCTCAAATACGGTTGATACTTAAATACACACTATCTTTTCTTCCTCGCTTTCTGACATTAAATCAAAGAAAACTTTCTGTTTAAACTCAGTATTACCAAAATTATTCATTTGAATCCCATCACAAAGTTTTTTGAAGCAAAATTTAATCCCTGGTGGACCAAGAGTAGGAGTTTTTTTTGTCCATCGCTGCTGTTTCCAATCATTTCTGCATCAGACGTACCAGAAACACACAAATGCAAAGGTTCTGGCTGGAAACAAAAATTTTAACATGTTAAAATGGGTGTAATTAATTAACCAAAATGTGTTAGTCCCGAACATAGTGTTCAGTGAAGTTGTTTGTTGTATAATCCCTGCTCCCCCCAAAAAAGAAAAGGTGTGAATGCTTTGTTGTTAACAGTAGATTCTCACCTATAATGAATGTATGTAAATGTCTGACCAGAACTGTACATGTTGTTACCGAAGCAGCCAAATGAACATTCCCATTATTAACAGACAAATAGATCCTGTGCAACCTGTGATGCATATTTTAAAACTTTTATGCTATGAAATATTTTAAAATTACAGTTATTAAATGGCAAATAACAATCTAATAGTTATTTGTAGCATAAATGTTCATTATTCAGTATTCTTTAGTGTTAGTGGTACTGCTGAGCAAACACAATTTCACAAAATTCTTGGAAAACCAGGGATTAAAACCAGTAAGATGAACATCTTAATTAGAACTTGTATTTATTACAAGTGAGTGAGTCTTAAAATGAAAAAATATATATATCTTTCCGTTACAAGGGCATTACTGTGATGTTACCTCTTAGTTTCACCTCAAACTTATTTAATTTGCAAACATATATATTTACTTCCTACAGTACAGATACAAATCTCATAGAACTACAGATAATGTCAAGTAATATTATCGAGCACATATCAAATAAAGGATGTTGTCAACTTATTCACACCTCATGACTTAACTATTGGTGATTTGCCATTTATTAACGACACATGACGTGAGCTTTACTGTGATCTAATCTTTGAATCCGTGTTAAAACAAAAAAGTAGAATTCCTCAAATCTACAAAATTATTTTTTGTACACATCTCCTGTTACGATGAACATGTGGTTGTGTTTCTCGGGCTCGGTCCATCTTTCACATAATTAAAGATATTTCATAGATGAAAGAGAGTGTTGTGGATTGATTTCATCTCTGTGCCGTTTCACAAATCCTAAGCAGGACTTCTGCTCTTCTACGGAGCCAGATCAATACATTAGATGAATAACCGGAGCAATATTCTGCAGATGTTTGACTCTCTTCCTAACAGAGTTCAGACTGATACTCTTGGTAAATCAGAACATGACCACTATAGACTGAACACTGAAGGACTGAAGCACACCGAGCGTGGCCACTAAACTTTGATTCACTGACTTTCTTTGTTTTTTTACAGTTACAGATTGAGTTGAAGGCTTTCAGGGTCGCGAATGGTCCTTCAAATCAACTGTTCTAAAAGAACCGTTCAGATCTATTTGAGGCTGCACTGACTCAGGGACTTTAGAGCGCAGGTCTCCAACCCCAGTCTCTTCTCCAACAAACCTCAATCAAATGGCTCAATTTCCTCTACAGCCGTGGTTCAGCTCTGCAGAGGCTTGGGAGCGAGGTATTCATTTGATTGTTTGAGAAGAATTGCACCTAAAGGTTTCCAGGATACTGGCTCTTGAGGATCACCGCTTCAGAGGAAGTTACGCAGAAATTCAGACAATTCATGTTTAGATGGTGGAAGGAGACTCAGATTCTGTAATACAAAAAACAAATGCATATAATTAATGTTGGAGGAATTTTTAATGTTCCTCACTTTACTCGTTTACACTTGCTGTGCATTACCAAATAATTCAGCATACAAATAATTGATTAAAAGGGGCAGTAATATGTGTTTTCTAGTCACGTAATTTTAAAGCACAGTCAAGTAAATATGTTGCCTTTGGTTGTTATAAAAATGATATGTATATTAATTACGACTTAAATATTCAATGGTTTATGTTAATCTATCACATAAACCCCAGTTGAATACGTTGAAAGTTGTGATTATAATCAATAAAGTTTATTTGTACAGCACATTTCAGTAACAAGACAGTTCCAGATGCTTCACATCACAAAAAAATACAAAAAGTCGTAGAACATGTTCTGACAACGTGAAAAATCTAAAGATATACCCGTACATTTGCAAGGCTCTGAAAAACTTTTTGAATCAAACACTAAAAGAAGCACGGCGAGCCTCTACAAGCCTCACCAGGCCTTTCATCCTCACATTCAGCCGATCACCCAGACAGAACATTCACAAGTCTGGCTTCTGTTGACGCAGAGCCAGCGAGGAAACAGAAGGACAAAACACATAAAGCATCTGCTCATTATTCAGCTGACATTTTAGGCCAAATCGAGTTTTTAAAAAGGACATGTTGGGCTTTTATAGGGTTTTCTCTCTTATTCTGAGTGTTTATAGTTCATTTGGTTTCACTAAATAGGCATAAAGCTCGACATAAAATGGAGCAATTCTATGCTACAATGCCAAAGAAGAGGCTAATAAAACATTTAATTTAGCTAGGGTCCCTTCTGATGACTACGGTGCACACAAACATATTACTTACAGTTTGGCTAGATACATATAGTAATGCTTTTAGTCTAAAATATTTAGAACATAATGTTTTATTACTCTGTATTATGTATTTTCCAGGCACATAGTGCCATTTTGTAGCACAATAATGTAACTGTTATCTTCACTTGTTATAAGAAATGCTACATATTTATCAGATATCACTTGAAAGACAATTTAATTAGCATTTTAACACCTTGAAATCGGACCTCTGTCTCTTTAAGAAACCCCTGCTCTTTCTGAAACTCCGCCTTCAGGAAGTCATCACAACATGGCTCCTCTATTAACTCTTTAACAACATTTTTACCAGAGTTTCGGTGAGAAGTAGCTTAGCTGCTGTGTGCAGTTCCACTAGGTGTTTGCTAATTGCTATGGGCTAGTCTGAAGGAGCTGAGTGGGGGAGTCTGCTGCTCAGTGCAACACTCTGAAAAGCGAAGTTAAAGGCTTAACAGAGGAGCATTATCAGAAAGATCAGAAGTTTCTTAAAAAGACAGAGGCCCGATTTCAAGGCATGAAATTACAAAGTCAAATTTATTTTATGTTTGAATTATACAGCAGTTTTATAACAACTGAAGAAAACACAGTTACTTGGTTGTGCTATAGAAATGACACTATTTGCCTGGAAAATACTTTAATGTGTTAGTTACTTAGTTTCCTCAATAAACATATTTATGTGTCTATTGACATGAAACTTCCTAGGTTTTAGAATTAACCCTAGAAATCAACAAGAAATCAAAACGAGAGTCCCTTAATCTGGTTCTGTGTAGCAGAGTGGAAATTTATTAAAGCTTTTATAGAAAATGCTTTTTTTTTGTAAATACAACTTCAAGATGTCTCTTGATTGTATGAATGAGTTCAATTTAGTTAAAGATGTTAGATTATTAAAACAGTAATTGGAAAAGAATTTCAGATGAACACATTATTCTCAATCACACGTTCTAAATCTATAATTATTCGCTCAAACTCGTCCTCTGATATCAGTGAAAAATCGGATTCATAAAACTGGCTGCAGAAGTTTACTTCCGGGGGGAAAAAAGAGAGAAAAGTCAGAAGATTGAATTTTTGGAAGCAATTATCCAGAATGGCCTCAGGAAGAGCGGGTCAGCATATTACAGCTCATGGTGGCATCAGATGTGACAGGCCATGTCCCCTCAATGCACAGCTCACATCTTACACTGAGCAAAGTCCAAAGTCATCAATATTTAACTCGGCTTAATTGTCACTGTGCCATAGCGGGCTACTGACAGTTCATCCAGTTCTCTTTTTTTGTGTGAAATATGTATGTTTTACATATAATATGTGTTTTAACCTGTCTGTCACTAGAGGACCCAAATTTGGGTCCTCTAGTGACAGAGGTGTCAAACTCCAGTCCTCAAGGGCCGCTGTCCTGCAACTTTTAGATGTGCCTCTGCTGCACCACACCTGAAAAGAATAATTAGGTCATTAGCAAGGCTCAGGAGAACCGATCTACACAGGGAGGAGGTAATTAAGCCATTTCATTCCACTGTTTTTTACCTGTGGCACATCTGAACACTGCAGGACAGCGGCCCTTGAGGACTGGAGTTTGACACCCCTGTCATTGTGAATGACAACCTGAGACCAACAGGTTAAAATGGCTAGTATGCATTTCCAATCAAAGTTGGTACAGTTTCAATGTTTTCAGTATTTCAGGCAGACCTGTCAGCCAATCTGGTAGCTCATTAACGCCCCCTGTGTTTAACCTGCTGGATTCTGAAAGATGACATGAAAGAGAATATTTAACTGAGCCCAAGACGTCAATGGAGTCTCCTCAGATTATAACTTATTTAAATTCAAGAGTCAGCTCAGTTTGCCAAAGTCTGCAAAAATGCCTTCTACTTTTCAAACCCATGAGTCGTGAACTGGGCAACTACACACCTTATTGCTATAGATTTATATTTAAAGGGGCAGTATTATGTACATTTTACTTATTTGAGCTTCACATCATGTTGCAATGTTACTCCTTCATCAGTAACACACCTGGAGTGTTGCTTTGATTCTTTCGTGCATGTTTGAGAAATCCTTTAGTCTCCTGTGGCAACCATTCAACTGTGTATAACGCCAGGTGGACCTAGCCCCACCTTCAACGCACAGCTCCTCCTCCGTGTTGCAGTTTCCAAGCTACAGAGCTTTTCCCTCACAGAGCAGCCCTCCCCCTGCGACTCCTCTACTCAGCTCCTTTAGACTAGCCGGCAGCAATTGGGAAACACCTGGTGGAACTGAGCATCTGCACTGCTGGTAAAAACGTTGTTAAAGGGTTAATAGAAGAGCTATGTTGTAGTTTCCTGAAGGCGGCGTTTCAGAAAGAGAAGTTTCTTAAAGAGACAGAGGCCCAATTTCAAGGTGTTAAATCACAAGGTCAGATTTCTTTTAAGTCATATTTGACATAAATAGCATTTTTTAACAAATGAAGTTAACACATAATACCGCCCCTTTCAACATCAAGAACTACTTTTTAAATATTTTGTATTTTATTTTTAGATTGACTTATCAATAATTTACATAAGAAATTAAGACTGAAATCTGTTTATCAATATATTTGTTCTTGCAGAGTTAAGCAGCAGGTCTATATTATTTCAGCAAAAGAGAAAAAAAATCATTTAGAGCTAATTTTCCATTGTCTTGTGAAAATGGATGAATAATAACCATCTTTTCTTTACAAAAATATGTGTGACAGGAAGCGTTCAGTGTGAAGTCAGTTCTCTGTTTGCAGAGATAAAAGCGGCAAAGATTTCGTACTTATTCCTCGAAACATAACACCTCCATGTACTGGTGGGCTTCACTAAAAGCTCCTTTATTGATGTTTTTTTTTTTTCAGTGCGAAGACAAAATGCAAAACTGTGTGCTACAAAATAAATATATATTGGCAAAAATAAAACAGACTGCTGGTGTTCTGGTGACAGCTTTAGTTTGTGTTTACATGTTAATGTTTATGAGTCATGTAAACAAAAGCACTTCTGCGTTTATCATTGTTAGATTTTTAGGAACAGGCAGACAGAGGCAGCCAGTTAATGTTTGGCAAACTTGGAAGATTTTTTTTCTAACCATAGAAATTGATAATTAGAGCTTTCCAGACGTCTGACAGAAGAATGAAACCAAGATAAACACCCAATGAACATGATGAATGTTAGATGTTTTTATTATTATTTAAAAGTGAGGAAAAACACTGAATTTATCCCATATGCTTTTTCTGAAGTCAAAAATTACACGTACAGAGGTGGAAGTAGACAGGTGGAGATGCAGCAACGGTTTATGTAAACAATCATCAGTCAGAATGATGAACCCATTATAAAACATCTCAAACAGGCTTATGTTTAACAGCAAGGTGTAGACTGTAAATACATAAGTTGTGTTAACTGGGATGGGTCACACATCAGCTTTTAAAGACG